TTTGGTAGCGATTCAGTAGAAGACACATTCGCTCACATTGTACTTTAGTCTATTTTCTCACTGGTTAGTTCCTTCAAAAGCTTCAGTTTCATTCAATTTGCCTTTAGTCCAGATCAGGCATGCAACCATCTCAAGCTAGGGCTCGCTGATCGGAAGCGAACATGTTCGGTTGCGAACCGTTCGGTGACCGAACATGTTCGGTTACGAACGGTTTGGTGACCGAACATGTTCGGTTGCGAACCGTTCGGTGAACGAACATGTTCGGTAACAAACCGTTTGGTGACCGAACATGTTCGGTAACAAACCGTTCGGTGCCGATCAGCGATTCCTAGTTTGGGATTGTTGCATGCCTAGTTACAAATGATGGTAAGGTGAGACGGAGTGGTGATAACGAAGACACGATATCTGAAGATTTTGCATCACATTGCTTTCCGATAACTGATGAATTACGATGTTGTAATGTGACTAGTTTTCGATTTGAAAGAAATAATCGTGGTGCATATGGTTTCTTCGGAGGATTATTTTCCAGTGTGTCTGTTTGCACTTGAATAACAATTTCAGCTTGTTCTGGAACTTCTGAACTTATTCGTAATAAAACGGGTGTTTGTCGTTGCTCTCCTCTTTCGTGTGTATGCCACAATTCTGTTCCAATTGACCAAACGCCATCAGCTGGAGTGTTATTATAAGTGTCGTTTAATAACGATAATTTAGCTGTATCATTTAAATCAGATAGATAATGTACAGGTTTTTGTACGAAGTTTTTGATAATGAATAATCAAAATCCTCGTCGGATAAAAATAATGGTGCCCATTTTCGACGTTGTTCCACCGTTAATTCACATGCACCAAATTTATGATTAATGACTAATAGCCAATAGTTTAAATTTTCATTATATGTGCCACTAAACTTGGTTATATCTTTCAATATGGCCCGGAATAAGAGTGTCTCAGCATATCCCAATCGGGGCAAATCTTTCAATATTGTATTGATCAATACTAAATCAACGTGCTCCATCCTTAATGCCACAAGTGGAATGGAAGCACGCCGGCTAGTGCACCATTTGTTAGCTCTGCCACGCTATCATGTATTTCCAAACAAAACACACTCTCTCCAAAACACAATCAAAAAAGCAATTGACTCTAACTCACTGAAAACAACAAGAACAAAGAAAAGTAAAAGAATGTTGTGAGTCAACATTCTTTCAGTGGAACACGCACACGAGAAAAGAAGAACAATGAATATAAGGCCATCGTTTTCATTCTTTCGCTTTGTTTTACTTGTTCTCAAAAGAGAATAGTTTTCTATAACCTGCACTACGACCGAAACCAAAACGCACTGCCCGCGAATAGTTTTGAGTTGTTTTTAAGGGGGTCCAGCCCTCCCTCATCTTTTTTATTGCGGTATGTTGTACAGTTCGACGGTCTCTTAATTAATTTGTATAAGCCTGTAAAAATGTATCAATTAGATTGAAGACTAAAGGAGCGATTCCAAATATATTCTGATCGTTCGGTTGTTAAGCCTATATTCCGTTTACTAGGTTGATGTAAGTACGGTGTGGTATAATTTAGAACTGTTTTATAAATAACTGCCTTGTTTTGTAACCGCAGAAACCTATAACAAGTAAAGTTATTTTTGCTTTACAAATAAGGCGATAGATAGAAAAGCAATGTTTCCAGGTTTTAGAATACACTTTCAACCAAATTGATAATTAACCTTTGAAATATCATACTTTTTTCTTTCATTTTTAGCAGCTAAATAAACTCTTTTCGACTACCATGACTTTCCGGCTTTCTCTTCGGGTCATAATAATCAGAGATAAGCTTATCTCTGAAAGTACTCATACGATGGGTACGACTTTACTCATAATTCGTCCACGAGTACTCATATTAGTACTACTAACAATTTTTGAGTATTGTTACTTAGTGAGTACTCAGAAAATATCCATTCACCGTTTTATTTTGCTAGGCTGACACTGTATAAAGATCGTAGAATTTAGTGAAGAAACATAGAATATTTGTATTATTATTTCCTCACTGGTCTCTTTGTATACAGTCAGGGATGGACTCGTCTGTGACTAGACTTGTAGTCCTACTCTGGCTGCCTGAGATCACTCCTCTATATGAAAATATCAGATGAACAATACTCATGAGCATCTCGCTAAAAGTTATATGAGTACTCAACAATACCCAAGCGTGAGTACTCAAAGCCGAACGCACAATACTCGTTACTCACTCATTTTTTTCAATGAGTAAAAAAATGTGTGAGTACTCATGAGTACTTTGGGACAGTTTTCAGCAGAGTACGACTTTAAGTACTCACACTTGAGTACATTCACTCGGGAGGTGTATTCAAACTTTACTTATCCAGCGAATTAGATAACTTGATTAGTGTACGTTAGTCAGGTTTTAAGAAACGTGGAACTATTACGCAATTACATGAAATTATTCAGTATATAAACAAAGGAACGGATGAGAATGGTTTTGTCCTAGGTGTATTTTTGGATATAAGCAAAGCCTTTGATACTGTGTGGCGTCGTGGCTTGTTGCATAAACTGGAAAGTTACGGTATTAAAGGATCATTACTGCAGTGGTTTAAGTCATATCTCTCACAGAGGCGGATTGTTACTGTGGTTTCGGGTACAACCTCGACAGAGCGGAAAATTAATTAAGGTAATGCCGCAGGGTTCCGTGTTGGGGCTGTTACTGTTTTTGTTGTATATAAATGATATTGGGATAATCTGGAGAACCTTTGTAAGTTGTTTGCTGATGATACCTGTATTTTTGGCAGTGGTCGTGATCTTAAGCTGTCAGTTGACTCGCTGAACAGAGATTTGCAACGTTTGTCCGATTGGTCTGATACCTGGTCACTTTCGTTCAATGTGAAGAAGTGTAAATCGATATTATTTACGAAAAACCGCAGGCTTGCTTCACCGAAACTTGTTGTGAATAATATTCTTTTGAGTGATGTAGATGAACATGTCTATTTAGGTTTGTTGTTCTCAAAGGATAAGACTTGGACTAAACACATTGATAGACTTGTACCCAAAGTTAATAGTTTGTTAGGATTGATAACTTTGACAAAATGGTATAAAAGCTATGTATTATCTACTCTGAATTACGGTGCTACATTGTATTCTTTGACCACTGATTATAATCTGCTAAAGCTTGATGGTATACAAAGGAGAGCAGCTCGAGTAGTCTCTGGTGCAATCAGCAGAACATCTACTTCGCTCTTGCTAAATGACTTACACCAGCTGCCGATTCGAGTACACTTCTTACAAATGCGATTAATTTTGTTCTTTCTCATAACACGTGGCCTTACAACTCCTTAATTACGGGAACATATACAACTCTCAGTTTCCAATTCTAATTATAAACTACGTGTTGGAAATCGAAAAAGGTACATAGTTTGGAAGTTGACTACCAAATTACTTAGTAACACGTTTTTTGCTAAATTGTCTATAAGACTAACTGAAGCCATGCAGCTCTCAAAGTGACGGAAATGTTTGACATGTTCAAACAGCGCCCACCTTGGCCATTGCTTGAGCGACATCTCCTTGGATAGAACATCAAAAACTTTAACATAACTTTACTTTGTTAGATCGACATTCCTTCAACTTTCTTCCAAGTATGTAATACAGGGTGCCTCTAATCCAAAGTTATAGCGTTTCCTGCAGTTTTTTTAAAGCAACGAAATATGTATTTTGTATTCGGACAGTCATGATCTCATTTCTAAAAAACCTATGCAGGACGCAAGTCCACATGATCTCAATTTAGAATGGCATGCTTAAAATTAATCGGTGAATAAGTTTTCGATTTTTAAAACGATAGTGAAGCAAAGTTGAACTGATGACGCAGTCAACATATCATAGAAAATGAGTCTATGGTAAAGTGGACCGTTACATGGAATGAATGACTCAGTTGAATGACTCAGTGTAGTAAAATTATCTCTCATATCATAAAAACACGTTTAAAGCCAACCGCTGATACATGAATAGGAAGCCGACACTTCAAGACACTAGAACATACGTTTGGATTCCACTTGGCTACATTGCATCATGTTCAAAATTAATATCTTTTTGTTGTATTTATGCTTTCATTTTTTAAGGTACACTTGTCAGGTTATAAAACCCTTTTAAAAAATAAGAATACACCCCAAACCCATGATAACCCAAATTTCAAAAAATCAACCAATGACTGCTAACTAACAAGTAATTCTCTTCATGTTGATTTAGCAGAATATATTTTACTTTAATTGATTCTTCTATGTGGATACAGAAATACTTAGAATCCTTAAAATGTAAATGTATTTCAAAATGATGAAACAGTACAGTTCATGACAGAAAAATATGAATAATTTACATAATGCTTCCATTATAAAATAAATAAATGGCGGCCTCAGTATTTAATCGTTAATCATATCTCGCTCGATTTTCATTATCAAAGCTTCAACCGTTTTCTAAAAGATTCATCGTTTCATTCTCTATAACAAAACATATTGAACATCTTTTTATATACCATAGAAATAAAAGAATATAGGTGAAAAAATAGTTTTTCAATTCTACAGTAGTTCTTTGTACTATGCGATACAGAACAAGAGAAGATGATCGTTTTGTAGCTCTTGAAAAGTTCTACCAATTGGCTTTATTTAAAAGTCTACGTAATCGCAATTCGTTGGGGAGAAGGTTTTGAGTTTAACGATTTTATCAAAAATCACCGTTTTCAAACTGCAGTTTTGGTGGCATTTTAGAAAACCTTTATAAATCGGCCAAAATCAGATATTTTGAGGTCTGGTATGTCTTGTCTTAAATTCTCTTCATGTTGATTTAGCAGAAAACATTTTACTTTAATTGATTCTTCTATGTGGATACAGAAATACTTAGAATCCTTAAAATGTAAATGTATTTCAAAATGATGAAACAGTACAGTTCATGAAAAAAAAAATTTTTCTGCTAAATCAACATGAAGAGAATTCATTTGGTAAATGAATGGTGTTTTTGAGATAAAGCGTTTATTTCTAACGTTTGACCAGCCCGATAAAAAATGTTAGGAAGAGAAATGACCGATGCCCTTGTGGTCGGTGTCGGGGCCTACAGGATTAATGTTAGCCTCTCAACTTGCTTCATGGTGTCAATTTTCGTATTATTGACAAAAAAACCGATTATACACCATATAGTCGCGCACATATTATGTACACTCGTACACTTGAAATACTAGATCAGATGAAGATATCAGAACAAGCCATAGAACAGGGTATAATTGCAAATGAAATGATCTTAATTGGTTTTTTAAAAGCAAAAAGCTTCTTGAATCGAAATTTATAGCGTTTGCTAATATAACAAAATTTCCGTATATGTTAATGATTGAACAATCTAAAACTGAACGAATATTAGCAGAATTTCTATTGAAATATCAGTGTATAGTTGAAAAGCAAGTTGAATTAATAAATTTTGTTGAGACAAACACGGATCATCTTATTCATGTGTCATTGAAAGGTCCGAACGATGAAATCATAAGCGCTCAGACAAAATATTTATGTGCTTGTGATGGTGCCCACAGTATTGTTAGATTAAAAGTTAAATATATCATTTTTCGGAACAACTTATGCTGAACCACTGTGTGTTATTGATTGTGAAGTAAAATTTCATGACAATAATACCCAATTAAATGAAGTCATTTTTAATTCAAATGAAGCTGTATTGTTGTTCTCAAAAACATACACAGGTGGAATTTTTCCACTAGCAAATGGTAAATGGCGTGTGCTTGCCATTGTCCCACATGAGCTGAAAAAGAGAAAAGAACAACTCACGTTTAATGATATTGAAAAGGATTTTCAAGAACGATCAAACCTCAATGCAAAGTTACATAGTCCTGTTTCGCCTATGATGATTTATGATTGTCATAATCGTTGCGCAGAAACATTTTGTTATAACAAACGCTGTTTTCTATTGGGAGATGCAGCTCATATTCATTCTCCTGTTGGTGGTCAAACGAGAAAAATGCTCTCAGAGATTCAAATAATAGGTTTTGTAGAGCTTGAAATTTTCTGTCTTTTGGTATGTAAAGGAACTTCTAATTTGAAGAGGAAGTACGAAACAAATGCAGTAACATTTAGCCCAGTTTATTATGGTACACCCGTTAATAAACTGCGTCTTTCCTGTCGAAAAAGTGCCATTTTCTGCAACGATTTTCTCGGGAACTAGAAGAGGTACAGTAAAATTTTAAACGTGAATAGGGAACTGTGTATCTGAATTAATAAATAAGCTATTTTCAGTCTTTGCAGATGTTCCAGTGGAGAGTTAGGACGTACGAAAGTACGTAATTTGAACGTCTAGGACTTGTAATTTTTTTTCAAAAAACGATTCATCAGAACGAATCATCTTATAAAACAGTCAGTCCAGTTATCGGTCGTTTTGTCCTGCTTTTTATAACTTTTCTCTATCCACCTATATCAATATTCTTCTTGTTCTTTCTACGGGAAAGGCTATCGGGAAACACGATTAAAGGTACAGATCTAACTGTACGATTTGAGTCAGGATCATTGTCACCTTCGTCATTGATACTCGGGTCAGAGTTGAGCAACTGATTCGTTACACTCAAGGTCGCGATGGACTCACACAGTGAATGTGAGCTAGCCGTCGAGAAGGACTCGACGGTCGGGAAGGAGCGAACCGGTCCTGCTAATTTACGGCGAAACGCTCAGAATTTCTGGCGAACTCACATTCGTGTGGATAGAATTCTCAATTTTCTCCTTCTGTAGTAGGAGTCATCTCCCGGTCCACCGCAGCCATCGGCCGTAAGACGCGTCGGTAACCAGGTATGAAATCAACGAAAAATGAAAGAAACGCCACGAAAAGAGAAGACATGTTAGTCTTCACCGCGTGTTGTTTTTGTGTCGAGTGTTTTCGTTTTTGTTGTTTTGTATTTTTTGAATTGTTACTGTATTTTATTGAACTTTTTTTACGTACATATTTTTTTATTTTAAGTGTTTGTCGCTCCCACGCCGCAAAAATATGTACACCAGTTGCGAAACACTATAATTGATGTAAGAAAAATACGAAGGGTTTATTAAGGTTTCTGAAATAATAGCAATATATTGAACAACTTTGTTCTGTCTCTTTACTTTAATTACTGCACATATATCTAGAGGTTTGATCTCCAGTTTATTAGAATCTGTGAAGACAGTGCCGATATAGGAAACTTTTTATACACCATTCGACGCAGATTTTCGTTCTACATCGGAATATGTATAAATGAAGGTTCCACAGTGCATCGAAAAGGAGAAAAAGGCCAAAAACTTCGGATTTTTCAGGGTTTAGAAAAGTTTTTCGGAAGATATTTTCCCCAAGTTGTCTGGAAATTCAGCCACTTCCGTCAACTAAACAATTTTTCTGATTTAACAGCTCCATTCAGAATTGAATTATCTATCGATATGCGCAAACCGCCGATTTTTAGCATTAAATTTTGATTTTTGATCAGAAGAACTTGCTAAGACTACCAGAGAGTGACGAGTTCACATATGAAATATTTTTGAGCGAATTCATCGCTAACCGAGAGCTATCAAAATGCTTTCAATAACACTTTACTGTTATTGAAAAGTTTTTCAACAATACTTTTTTCTTTCATATAGATGATTTTTCCTGAATTCACATGTGAGCTGCATTTGGCACTTAAAAGATATTATAGTTTTACATTTATTAAAAGATATTATATTATTGTCAGTATCATAAATAATGAGAGTGAAAAACGGAAATAGTATGGGCACCAGTAAAAAAATTTACAATAGCCATTAGATGATGTAGGTAAATTAATACTGAAACATAAAAATAAATAATTTTGTAAGAGAAAAGCCCATATGTAGACTAAATTTGATATTGATTGACACAAAAAGTATAGAGAACATGAATAGGTTCGCAATGTTTTCGATGAAAATATTGCAATATTAAAGAGATTACCCATCGTGCCTAATACAATGAGTACTGGTAATAAAAAGTAATATAATGATCGTATAATTACTGAGAAATCAATTGATGCCATTTAATGGTTGTAGCTGTCAAATAAATAAATGCTAGGATCTATAAAAAAATCATACAAGAAAAACTGTGGACACAGTGGCATTTTAAGGATAGCAGACGAACATGCGAATTTTTATCAGAAACGAATTTTTTTGCATATATTATTTTCGATCACTCAGAAAAACATTTCGTAGCAAAAATCTGCTTTTCAAAAGATCTTTTTCTATTTTATCCTGTCAACATTGATGCAGCAGTTCTTCACCTCACTTGCCTGTGGTTTTTAGACTAATTTTTGACAAAATGTTTTCCACAAACCTCAGCTGTTGAAACAAAAGTTTTCATGCCATTAAATAGCGTATAGATTGAAGTATTCGAATCTGGAAAAAGCACACTTTCATTTTCTTATCAAATATTCACTCGATGTTCACTGTGTCGGATTCGTAAAAGCGAGTTCATCGATAAAAAAACAAGGAAGAACTGGCATTGAGTAACCTTGAAGATAAAACACTGAAATTTCTACTAATATACTTCTGACGTATATGTACATATTTTTTTTCCCGCTTAAATACGCCTACTTTCGGATCTTTAACTTATATTCTGTTCACCAAACTTTCGTTAAAATGATTCCCGCAAAGTGACGGTGATCTGAAGTTTCATTAGAAATTTTTGATACCATAAAAATTTCATCGAAAATCCACAGTCAGCGAACATGCCGGAAATTTCATTAAAAGTTTTAATCAACTTCCTTTTAATGAAAGTTTTTTAAATGAAACGCCGGTATTCATTAAAAGGAAGTTCATTAAAACTTGCAGCTGCAGCTGTTAGTCAATGAAAGCAACAAAATTTCCTAGAGAATAACTTCACGTTTTATATACTTAAGGCACACATAAATGGAATGTAGGATAATTTAAAATATTTCTGGGAATAAATAAAATTTAATATGAACTAGTTCAACCTAAAATTTAATTTATCCTTATAGGAATATTTGAACAAGTTCTGTCACCTAGATCTAACCATACAAACACACTGTCACCTATTTCAAAAAAATGAATCTAGTATCGCCCGATTCATCTTTTACTCGATTGCAATTAGTTGGCAACGACAGTGGAAATCTAGTAATCGAGCAATTGCTAGATTTCTCCTGAGTTGCCACTATCGATTTATCGGATTTTATGACTTTTATTAAAAAGACTTTCCTTTAACTTATATTCTGGTCACCGAAAATGTCTCTCGCAAAGTGACTGTGACCTGAAAGTTTTTTTAATGAAGCGTCTTTGTCCTTATATGAATATTTGAACAAGTTCTGTCACCTATTTCAATTATTCCTACAGGAATAAATACAAAAATAAATATCGGCTACAGAAAGAAAAAAAAGCAGCCGTACTGGGAGAAGACACCGTATTTGCTGCTGCTGCTGTTATGTGATTAGTGTCACGACTTATCCATCCCATCTATTTAATGGCAAATTGTGCAAAAGATGTACTAGAACCTGCGAGAGTCAATAATTCGTTACCGTAATCTACGGAGACTCTGGTCTGAAAATATGAAGGATTTTTAATAACTAGCAATTAATCGAAATTCTAGAAAAACGCTCGCGTTTCTTACTCAAACATATATTTGGCGAACGATACAGCGCAGGAGCAAATTGATAGAGTGACTGGGCTCGTTCCTAGTGACGATCAGCGAGGATGGAATGCTGGAGCTTTTGCACCACAGTGGATTCAGTACGATTTAGATGGCAACCAGAATCAGCGTATCTCTCGCATACGTCTACGTGTCGACCAATATCCAACATTTACGGAATCAACGCATCACATTTTAGTGGGAACATGTGAGAATGACATGACAGTAGTCAAGGAAATTAATGGCTGTTACGCTTCGGGAGACTGGCTGTCTTACACATTTGATCCACCACTAGAAAAACTCCGGTATGTTCGATTCAGAACAGTCAAGAGTGGTAGTTGGGTTGCATGGTCGAGAATACTGATTGATGGTATAAACTGACAATAGAATTGTTTAAATAGTACGACAGTGATTCAAATTCTCTAATAATTCATGAATGTAACTTGTTTCGATGGTTAGCCTTCCAAGAATCATTGGTCAATGCTGTTATCATCACTGTGGTGCAAAAGCTCCAGCATTCCATCCTCGCTGATCGTCACTAGGAACGAGCTCAGTCACTCTATCAATTTGCTCCTGCGCTGTATCGTTCGCCAAATATATGTTTGAGTAAGAAACGCGAGCATTTTTTTAGATTACTTGAGTCATATTATTTCTTGTTAAATAATCACAAATCTTGTCTGTATGAGACCTTACGTTAGGCATTGATACTATAAAAATAAAGAAGAATAAGGATATTACAACATAGCATAGCGTCCCGGACGTAGTCTTTTGTCGCTCACTTTCTTGGTATTAAATTATAATGATTTATGCTAGTTCGAGTTTCTTATATAGCTTTCAACGGCCCCTACTAAAACGCGTTTTTTCTCGAAGCCTTACTGACAAACTTTTAATTGGTTTTTGGAAGCCTTTGGCTCAACAAGTGGCAAGTACAATACTAAATCCTAAATGTTAACCTGTATGACTGATCTTTGAGTAGATATGAGAAAAACATTGGAAGAGTCTCAATTTTTTATGAATTCAATAAAGCAAAAAAACCTGCACAAAATGCATTCATAAAAAGTAGTGTAAAAGTTTGCACATAGTGCTCTAATTTAGCTAGGAGAGTTAAAAAAACACTACGTTTCTATAACATTTTTCTATTATTTTCGAAGTGTGAGGGGGAAGAAATTATTTTCGAATCGATAAAAGAAAAATAGAAGAAAGACGATGTGAAACTGCTACACATGGCACAATCATATAAGTACAAAATACTTAGACAAATATACAGATGAAAATATATCACAGTGCTACTTGCTAGCCTCTCGTATTTTATTTGAAGAATAGAAATTACAAAAAACGCTCTCAAGCTCTTGAAGCTAAATTAATTTAGTTGATGAGATATCGTGACTCAGTGAAAGAATGAGGTAAGAAGAACAATGAGATAACAGGGAATGCTGAGTCATATGTTTTCTTATGACAGAGTAAGAATAAACAATAATGAGAACGGAATGTCTAAGCATAGAACTACGTTCTATGTGTCCTTATGACAGTATGACTAACACTACTGTGTGTGTTTTTTTAACTTGACCTGATTTTACGACGATTAATTTTTTGTGATTCTGATAAAGCGAAATTGATATTCATTCAATAAATTATTTTAGATAATGAAAATCTTGTTCTATTTAATATCATTTATTTTATTAAATTATTTGACAGACTGTGCCCAACCATATTTTCCACCTCAAATTGTATTTTCTCCTGATAATGGTCAAACGATAATTGCAATTGATGAAATAAATCAACGAGCTTATAAAACACTTCGTTACGGTTCCACAGGTCAAGAAGTGACATATGTTGAAAAAAAATTCCCATATGCAATTCCTGATTCTCCCGAATCAAAATATTATGTTCAGTTATTAATAGATTCTCCACCTCTCGGTTGTATGTATGGAACATATTGGCAATATGGTGGAAATACATTTAATTCATTCCCTTCACACTGGTGGGTTAATCGAACTTCATTTGAAATACAAAATTATATGAAATTTAATTATGTATTAATTCATTCAAACGATTCTTCTACAGATGAAGATTATTGGTACTCAAATGAAAAATGTCAGGTTGATAGTGGAGCAAGTTACCCATGTCAAGAAATGTATTTTAAAAAAAATACCGAAATTCCACTTCGATTTGTTCAAGTTGTTCGTCGAGGGTGGGTTGTTCTTCAAGTAACAACAAATTACAATATAATATCAATGGGAAAACCAGATGATAAATATTTTGATTCAATACCAAAAAACTGGACTTTGACATGCCGAGATGTTATGCTTGGACTTTTGTATTATCCACAAACATCAAAAATAAATTTAAATCAAAATGTAAAAGTTGAAATTTGGCTTATAACTCCACCACATCGAATTAATGGAAATGATACTGTTCGTATTCAATGGAAATCAAAAGAATGCACTGATTGTTTTACATTTTTACCAGAAGAATTATATTTTAATGGGAAAAATTTTCAAGATAGACAAACGTTAACAATAACTCGTGTCAAAAATGGACCTAAAACAACACTTATTCCAGTTTTCAATGGTGGAGGTTTTGATATTGTTACAGCTGAGATTTATCCTATTTATATTGAATAAATCTCTTACTTTTTATATTCAATATTGATGAAATAATCGAAATAATGTTTTATTCAAAAGAGCACGTTAACTCATATATGACCCAGTGACTTCTATACTCACTATTGCGCGAAGAATGTGTAAGCTATTTTAGTGTCCAAATATAAATATACAAATGTCCCAAGATGGTTGAGATTAAAAGAGCGACAAGATTTTTTTTGGGAGATAGAAACTTTCGGATGGAGGCAAACCTTATATAAAGGCGGATTGTGAGTAAAATTTGATTGAGCCTAATAACCTACGAAAAAATAAGCAAAACAAACAACATTTTCCAATATCGAAGAAGGTATCTTTCGTTACTCAATCATCCTCTACTTTCCCTCCTCAGTGAAAATTTCTTTACAAATAATCAAAAGAGACACTTTGCTTCTTCGAAGTCACTTTCCTGTTCATAGTCCGGGTGTGGATTAGACTCATGTATAGATACAACGTTGCGTATAAGGATTCGACGAGTTTGCAGTCACAGACAGGCTGCGAGTTGGGTGCCAGATGAGTTAGAGTATCTAGCCGAACTGCAAAATTCTACTTCGGACCCAAAATTTTCTATTTGACGAGCTCTGATATTCAGTAGAATAGCACATTCACTATATTTACTAATATTCCCGTTAAATCGATCGAAAAGCCGAACATTTGAAAATTTCAAGTATTTACAAACTGTGAGATCGCTTCCCCAGCCAATATGTTGTTTCTTTTCATCATTATGATTCGTTTGTGAATTACTGAAAATTTGAAAATTGATCCTAGACTCTCTATGTATACTTTTAGGACTTTTAATTAAAATTCCTTTCAGTATATTTTCTTGATTAGTAGAATATTTATTTTCACTTCGTCATTTTGCTGGATATGCAAAGATAAAAAAATTGCGTTTTTCTCCGCGCAAGAGAAAAGAACCAAGATGATATAAGAGTGACACAGGTGGTTTAAGTAAACCTTGGGCAAATATAAGAATTAAACATATTACAGTGCGGATTTTTTTCGCCAACTCATCACTTTATGATGGTATTTTTTTTGTTTGTTGTTAAAAACCGAAAGGTGTCAAACATATAAATAAGTTTTATATTGGAATGATATTGTTCGATATAAATAGGTCAGAATATATTATCACTTCAACACTGGCATGAACAAGTGAAATACTTTGCCTTCCTTTTGATTATAATATAGCAGAAAAGAAAATCTGTTCGTATCTATTAACCCACACCCAATCCGCACATGCACACCCACAGCCATTCTTCTGCAAATCAAGGCTATTAGTATTCAAATGTAATATCTCAAGAAATTTATTTAAAAAAAGGGTGTGGGTGTGGACGTGCGTGCTGGTGTGGGCGTAAGTGTGGGTGTGGATGTTTATTCACTCACACCCAACCCACACACGCACACCCATACCCACACTCAAACATATACAATTGAATTGATTTTAATTGATAGTTTTATAAAAAAATTGGTA